TTAAGTTTTCTATTTCGTAGTTTTATTTACTTATTAACTTCATTTACATAATTTTTTACTGTTCCTGCATTTGCCTACACGGTACCTCGCTGGCGCCACCTTAGCGTAGGCATCACGAAAATCCCACGTCGGCAGCAACCCTCTCCTCCAGTAACCTTGTCTGCGCTCGGGAGCGCGCTGTCTCGCAGGTGCGTCAAGCTGGAACAGCTTGAGCATGTTAACACTCCGGAATGAAACATCAAATGATTTATTAATTGTCACGTATTCTCGAGGCGAAAACCGGTGTGAGCATGCTTGACGCGACGCCATCGCATCAAAGTCAAATTGAAATTCAGGTTGTAGCTCGACCGAAACCCTTGGATAAATTATTGCTAAATGATAATTAATTGTAACAATTTGGAATTAATTGCCACGTATATTCGTGGCGAAAACGGGAGTGAACTGAGCGCCAGCACATTCAAAAGTTAAATTCGGGTTGTAGGTCGACAGAAACTCGTTTATTTCTAATTAATTTGCCACAATTTGGAATTGCCACGTACCTACGTGGCGAAAACGGTGTGAGCTGGGCTCCAGCACACTACTTATATCCGTGTCGTGCCGCGAGGGAAACCCTCAGATTTATTGCTAATTAATTGCCACGTATCTTTGTAGAGAAAACGGGTTTGAGCTGAGCGCAGCACAAACAAGTTAAATTCGTGTCATAGCTCGACGGAAACCCTCCAATGATTTGTTGCTAATTACTGCCAAAAATTGGAATTAATTGCCACATTTTCATAGAGAAAACGTTTGTGAGCTGGGTGTCAGCTCACACATAGTTTACATTCGCGTTGTAGCTCGACAAAAACACTCCAGTTATTTATTGCTAATTATTTTCAATTAATTGCCACAGATTGGAATTAATGGGTACGTATTTTCATTGCGAAAACTTTTTTCAACCCGAATTTACCTTAGTGTGCTGACTTGACGGGTCAAGCCAGCTCACACCTATTTTCGCCACGCAAATTCGGGGAAATTTACTTCAAATTGTGGCAATTGATTAGCAATAAAATATTCGAGGGTTTCCGTCGAGCTACGATGCGAATTTAACTTTTGTGTGTACTGGCGCCCTGCTCACAGCAGTTTTTGTTACGAAGATAAACGGCAATTAATTAGCAATAAATCTGTGGGTTTCCGACGAGCAACAGCGGGAATTGAATTTGTGTGAGCTGGCGCTTAGCTCACACCCGTTTTCGCCACGAATATTCGTGACAATTCCAAATTGTTGCAATTAATTAGCAATTAATAATAAATTATCCGACTCGTTGGCCGGCGGCACCTTCTCGAAGCCTACCCGGGACCTCGATATTGAAACTTGTCCTCTTACACCATGCGCGATGCCGGTCGGCTGGGCCCCGCGTCGAGTTCGCCATTTCTCGCTTTCAGATGCTCGTACCTCGGTCCGTTTCACGTCGCCCTTTTCTTCAGATCGCGTTGTTTTGGAGCTACTCGTGCTGGAGTTTCGTCGCTGTTATCGAATGAGCCGTAAAAATGCAGTTCGTGTTGCGTCGGATTACACTCCAACAAAACTCTATTTGATTTGCTCCTTCAAAAAATACGGAAGTAGTGGAAAAATTTTAGCAGAACGAGTTCCGCAAAAGACAAAAGTATTCCGCCCTCTGTTTCCCTCGCTTTCGGCCTTCTTGACTAATGGGAACTTGCAATTCCTTATCTTTAGTTTGCAAATTCGTTATTGGTCAGCTGCGGTTTCGCATTGCTTGTCCGCCGCCCACGTCAGACCGTAACGCCGCCGTCACGTCACTTTCAAATTCGCGCGCGTAGACGAATGTCACAAATTTGGGTTTTTGGGGCCTATATCGCAGCTTGCGTCAATTCATACCATTAGTATTACTAAGTTTAGCTATTTCTAACGGGTGTGACTTTAAGCTTGATTCCATATGTTGGAGTCAATTTTTCCCACAATTTTCTCGTTCAATTAGTGACAAATATTTCGCATATAGTTGGTAACACTAGTAACATTGTATATTTGATTCCAACTTTATATATATATATATATATATATATAATATATATATATTATATAATATATATATATATATATAATAATATTATATATATATATATATATACGATCTTGAACGCGTGTATGTTTTTATGCAAATTAAATTCGAATATCTTCATAAATTCATTAGTTTCAGCATTACTTAATTTTTAGAAATTTCTAAAATTGTGTGAAAACTCGTTGAAAATGTTGCAAAAAAATGTTGCAGTCAGTCCTAATTCTGAAAACACACTGGAAAGGTTATCAATTTCTCAGAAGTTTTTAGATATGTTAGAATTTCTCACAAAAATTTCACACAAGAAATTGTGTTGGTTCATTATTTTGGGCAGGGAGAGTCCTGTGACCCCACCCCCCACCCTTGGATCCACGTCTGAGTGAGCAAACTTTTATGACTGAGACTAATGATAAAGTTCTAACATTTTGTATTTAAAAAAAACAACA